TTTATTGTTCTGGTACATATACATTTACAGCTTTTATTTTATAATTATATCTTATTCTCATTATCCATCATATTCGTCTTGATAGATTTTGCTACAACTCCAAAAAATAACAGCCTTAAAATAGGCATTGCTTGATTTTTGCCCAGTGACAGCTTGCTGCCATCTTGCTTTCTTTATCTACCTTCTGGTTCCGAATAATTCTGCTTCTGCCAACATAATGCAGAATATCTGTCTTCTGTTTGTCTTCACTAAAGGTCTGAACCAATTTTGACCCGGATGAAAGAAGATCACACCCGTATCATCCTTCCTGCCATAGACAACATCAAGTACAACACCTTTGAGGTGCAGCAGTATGCCAATGCTGCCCATGGCTACAACTGGGGCCTGTGGTGCATGTACATCATCCCCCCACAGGAGTGGCTGGACAAGGGCGATGAGACGGCCCCTATCAGGTGAGGGCAGTAGCTGATGAACAGCGTCCATTATGGATGAGGACGTCTGATGAAATATGGATAGCTTTGGGACATGACTTATTCATGTAGAGCCATCAAACAAAGGTGATAAGTGGTTCGGCGCGCCACACACAAATAAAGGCTTCCTGTAGTAAGCTGTCTAATTAACATGATGAATATCTTCATTTTAATGCAGGATCATGAGGCCATAATGATGAGGAGGTGTCATTACTGTTGTGTTGTGTGTATACACGTTACCTGTTACCAAATTAAGAACCATGGAGATAAATTTCATGTTTCTAAAGAAAAAAGAACAGTTTTAAAACATAAAATATAAACACATTCACTTCATGATGTGAACAGTTAATTCAAGTCAAGTATTTAATCCAAAACATTCATATAAATGCATTTATAGGAATAAATTTTCTTTTGGCTGCTCCCTTGTGCAAGGGTTGCCACAGCGAGTGAATTTGAACGAAAGATGTGGGAATGTTTTTTTTAACGCCGGATGCCTTTTTCTGACACAACCTGGGCTCGAACGAGCAACCCAACCATTAGGGTCAGCTGTAAACATTTATGGTGCAACTGTCTATAAAAAAAAAAAAAAAAATCAAAAGGTTGGACATGGGTGGCTCAGTTGGTAGAGCTGCCACCGCTCAGCAAGACGGTTGCCAGTTCAAATCTCAGCCGGGTAGCCTTTCTGGGTAGAGTTTGTATGTTCTCTCTGTGCATGTGTGGGTTTTCTCCAGGTACTCCAGTTTCCTCCCACAGACTATAAACATGCATGTTAGGCTGATTGGTAACTTTAAATTATCTCGAGGTGTGAGTGAGAGAGTGAATGGCTGTTTGTCTCTATGTGTCCCTGTGATGGACTGGAGACATGTCCAGGGTGTCTCCCGCCTCTCACACAATGACTGCTGGACAAGGACACCAGTGACCCCCGTGACCCGCAAAGTAAGAAGCGGGTAAAGATAATGTATGTATGGATAGATGGATGGAAGGTTGGACATATTTTATGGGCTTTGGGAGCTTTGGGGGTTGGGTGGACATGGTTGTTGAAGTATAATATGACAAAAGGAACAACTGGTATGGTGTTGGGTTGTTAACTTTTGGATAACATGTCTGTTCTGACTGAAACCTGTACTCATCTGTGCTCTTAAATGAGCCAAACATCAGATGATTAAACAATTTAACATCAGGAGGAAACATCAAAGCATGACTGAACAAATGTACATTCATAACCAGAAATGTTGCTTGAATTCTGATACTATAAATTTCCATACAAATCCAAACATGTGACAACAGACAAAAACATGTTTTGTTTGGATTAAGGACAAATGTAATAAGGTTACTCAACCTCTCTATATATTAATCTGCATATTTGTATCACATGACACATGTCCAGTCCAATTCAGGAAACAGGACTTTAATCAAGCTACACATATTGTATATTTTGATGCCCACTGTTAGAATCTCATCAGTTTATCATTGCTGACTTTCACAAAAGGCTTTTAAATTATTTTCAAGAGCCGCCAAAATTCAACTTTGGACCAGATTCATGGCCTCACAGTTACTTTCGTTAGATACAGGGTGTCTCATATCAAGAATGTGATGACTGTCTCTGCTGTCTGCCTAAATATTGGATGTTTTCTCCAATCTCCATAAAAATCATTTATTGCAGAGAATCAGCTGCTAGATGTGGGATATACAAACAATAAAACAGGAGTTCCAGACATAGCTGAGTCACTTCTGTTTCCCTGTTGACACTTTACTGCCAATGGACAGATTGCCTCAGGGGCCATATGAAGTGTGTCGGCCATGTGGATTTCTATTGGAAATCATTGTGCTGCTTGTTTTCTCAAGGTTTGTGCCCATCAACAACAGAGGCTCTGACATCCTCAGAGCTCAGGCGCACAGTCTTTTCTAGTTGGCGTGAAAGATTCAAACAAAAAGATGGTGAAAAGGTGCAGGAGTGCACACAACTGTCACAGAGGCTACAGAGAATTGAAACCATTTAAAAGATGTGACAAAAAAATGGACTTTCTTCAGCAGCTGCCATGATTATTGACAGGATGCTTTAGGAAGAAAGTGATAATGGCTATAGAAAGCTTTGGTAGATCAACAGATATGTGAAATCTTTCACTTAAATAAACAGTTTTAAGAGGAAAACTGAAGTGTTTAACATCAGTTTCAAGCAAGACAACTTTCCCAACAGACCAGTTTGTTTCACTCAGGTTTGCTAGGGCAAGCTTGTAGGTTTTGATTGACATGCACAAGAATCATGGGTAAAAATAAAACTTGGTCATGAGAACCTGTTTCTTCAGTTTAACAAACCCTACATAGAGTATCACAATTAAATTAGAGTCTTTGTTGTTTTGTTTTTCAGTGTGGACAGGAAAATAGATGGAAACAAAATAACGGAAGTGAGTTGAAGGTTTAAAAGACCACCTATGAATTTAAAAATCCACGTGTAATAATTAATAACATCACATTGTCTATGTTTTCACCTTAAACCACAACAGACCTTTACATTCCAACAGTTCAATTAGAAACATGCACATTTGTATAAGTTTGTTAAATTTCTATCTTCAAGTTGCTTCATTGACGTTTCCTAAACACTAGTCGAGTTTATAGCTTGAATTTCCTGATGCATGCTCAATAATCCAGGTAGAAAAATCTAAAAAAGTTAAATCTGGTCCTCTGGACATTCAAAAAAACAAAACAAAGCAAAACAACAAAAAATGTAGAAACGTTTCGTCTCTCATCCGAGAGACTTCTTCAGTCTGAGGAGCTGTATTCAGCTCAGTCTCTTAAATAGCACCTTCTCAGAGTGGATCAACCAGTTTTGCTGCTGACAACCAAAACCAGCTGATCACATGCTCAAGAAGGACCATCAGCCTAACAATGGATCATTAGCACACTGATGGCTGTTTACTGTTCACAGAGGGCTGAGTGATACTAGCAATCACAGCATTGTAAGAGGGGGACAATTGAACCCGGAGGCCTCCACCCCTGTTTAATGATGGACGGTTTCTTTTCACAAAGATGGCCTCCTAGCAAACCATCGTTCCTCTCTGTCCAGGATGTGAACATCTTCATCCTTGAAAGAGTGACCGCTGGCCTGGAGATGAGTGTAGACCGCAGAGTCCTGGCCTGATGATGTTGATCTTCTGTGCTGGGCCATCCTTTTGGCCAGTGGCTGTTTAGTTTCCCTGATGTAAGACTGATCACAGCCCTCCTGACACTGAACAGCATACACATTACTCTGTTTGTGCCGGGGGACTGGATATTTGGGATGAACCAGTCTTTGACGTAATGTATTTTGGGGTTTAAAAGCCACTGGGACGTTATGTTTAGAAAATAAACGTCTCAGTTTCTCTGATACTCCCTCAACATATGGAATGACCACTGGTCTAGGTCTGGGTTCCTCCTTTTCAACTGTTGGCTGACTGGAGTCCTGTTTGGGTTTCTTCTCTGCTTTTAGGAAGGCCCAGTTAGGATATCCACATTGCTCTAGAGCCTGTCTTGTGTGGGATTTCTCCTTCTGCCTGGCTCCTGAGCTAGTGGGGATGCTGTCTGCTCTGTGGTACAGAGTCCTGATGACTCCTAACTTGTGCTCCAAAGGGTGATGGGAGTCAAACTTCAAATACTGGTCTGTGTGGGTGGGTTTGCGGTACACCTCAGTTTGCAAATGTCCTTCATCAGAGACTGAGACCTCACAGTCCAAGAAAGCCAACTTGCCATTTTTTTCATCTTCTCGTGTGAACTTGATGTATTTATCCACAGAGTTGATGTGGTCAGTAAAATGTTGGACTTCCTGAGATTTGATTTTAACCCAGGTGTCGTCAACATACCTGAACCAATGACTTGGTGGTGTCCCTGAAAAGGACGTCAAGGCTCTCTTTTCTACCTCCTCCATGTACAGGTTGGCAACAATAGGAGAAACTGGAGACCCATTTTTTGTTGTTTTGCTTTGTTTTGGGTTTTTTTGAATGTCCAGAGGACCAGATTTAACTTTTTAGATATAGCTTGAATTGTTTTGTTTAGAATTAGGATGTAGTGTTTTGTATGTTTTTGTGCAATAGGGGATATTTGTAGATGTTGTATTGCAAATTTGTTAAGGTTTTTATTTTTTAGTTTAGTCACCTAGAAATAAGAATTTGTTTCAGTTTTAATGTTACTTGCTCTCAAACATATGGATGTTGGATCGCAAATCTTTGTGTACAGATTAACCTGAATTTGGAGACAGTTTTGAACTTGTGTACATCATTTAATTAACTCAATAGGTTCCTATAACCTCTCATTTTAATTATATGTGACCCTACTGGGGCTCTGCAGGGTTTGCTAGTATGGAGATAGGGGTGCATGTTTTTCTTTTTTTTAAGCTGTGTTGTTAAAAGTTGCTAGCTCTTTTTTACACTTTTCATTGAAATGAATACATAAAACTAGAAACAGATGTGATGAATGGCCGATATAGTTGATTTTTATGCAAAGAGATGAAAACGGTGAAAAACAATGTAGACATAAGGTTTGTTGCTCAAAAATAAGCCTTATAACAAACTTGACTTTATACATCATTAAAAATGCCTAAAAAATTGAGATTTTCACAGTACATGTGTAAATTTGAGATATCATTACTACTAGAGGTCAAAATGGATGCCTACTTTAAAAAAAAAGCAACATTTTAGGGGGCAAACATGATCTTAATGATCTGTCTTGCTATAAGATGTTTGTTTTTCAAGCAGTGACCAACAGTATTGGGGGGGGTGTCCATGGGATATATGAGCCCTGCAGGCTGACCATCGCAAAGTAGCTTAACCTTATATTTCTGACTGAGTAACTCAGAGGCACCTCATCACTAGTGGCAGAGAGACATCATAAAAAACATTCAACAAAAGGCACATCGTTTCTTGAAGGAGCACACATCACCCGTTGCCCTTCATTCCAAAGTTTTATTTATTTTGGTCAAAAATTGAAAATAACTTTGATTCAATATTGCA